AAGTTTCAAAATCAATGTTCTAAAGCAGCGGTTCTTAATACTTTTCCTCTCGTCCCCTGCTCTGCACACGCTCTTCATCTCTCTCTCGTTCTCTCTCTCTCATTCAGCTCAGCTCCAACAATGAACTGTTCCAATTATACACTTATTTTCACATAGGGGAAGTAGTGGCCTAATGGTTAGAGAGTCGAACTCGCAACCCAAAGGTTGCGGGTTCGAGTCTCGTACCGGCAGGGATTGCAGGTGGGGGGAGTGAATGTACAGCGCTCTCTTCCGCCTTCAATACCACGACTGAGGTGCCCTTGAGCAAGGCACCGAACCCCCAACTGCACCAGTGCTTGTGTTTATCAGTCAGCCGCGGCATGTTTCAAAAGCGGCAATCCTCGCTGCTTGGCTAAAAATAGTCTTTTGTGAGTTGTCACAGCGTGGAGGACGGAACAAAACCTCGTCGGAGCCATAAGGGATAACGGTAACCTATAACTTATAACTACGGTATAATGTAGTTAATATTTGCATCATTCATGATTTATTTTATCCACACGCAAATAATCAGAATGCATTTTTTATTACCTGACCCGTGGATATAGGAAAAGCAAAATATGTTTGCTGTGTAAATCAGATGGATCACATGCTGCTGAGGTGAGGGGCGGGAAGTTTAGACGCGCACTAGAGGCGGTTTAGCCAATCACAACACACTAGGCTAGCTAACCAATCAGAGCCCATCTTCTCATTTCTGAGGGCGGGGCTTCATAAAAACAGGAAAAGATCAGCCCCTTTCTCAGAGAAGGGACAGAGCGGTGTGGAATAAAGGTAAATTATGTGAAAAATAATGCGTTTTTTTAAAAACGAAGCATTAACACGTTAGACTGCACCCCATAAACACAATCAAGCCTAGAAAAAAAACCAGTGAACCACCCCTTTAAGAAGCAAAATACTGTATTAACATTCAGAACACAAATAATAACAAATTAAAACATAATTTCTTGCTTAAAAGCTGTCAATACAGAAGACAACAGACCAAGCAATCAAAGTGTGAAAATTTGAATTTTGATATAAAATATTTAAGCAGAGTATTAGACCATATTCTCTTCAAAGATAATCTTGCACACCTTGCCTGTGGATTTGACTCCTTTCCAGATGCAGAAATAACATATGATCCACATTGCAATAAGACACAGTAGAATCTCCCAGTTGATCTTACCGACCTGCTCAATACCATCAGAAAGAACCAGCACTCTGTTTCTATAATATTTGACAAGAGAGAACAACAACTTTACAACTTTACAGAGGGCCAACAACTTCAGTTTTATTATATATGTATGTGTGTGTATCTATGGTTTTTGAATTGCTAATGCATAATGTTCTTGCAAGGATTGATTTCATTGTAATATAATTTATGCTTATGTATTTACCTCCAGAACTCAGTAACCGAAGTAGTTGAATTAATCAGCATGGTCCGGTTAAGGGTCAGATTGTTTGCAGCAAGATTCACACAGTCAGCTAAGACAGAGACGACGAAAAAAAAGTTTGCAAACCACTGGTCCAGCATATTCATATACTGTATGATATTCAATAGATAGTACTGAGCTCTTTCTGTGAGTTTTGTTTCAAATGATCACCTGTGTTCCAGGTATTGTCACAACTGTCCCACGGCAGTTGGGAGCTAAAAGAGAAGATGAAGTAGAAAAGCGCCCAGGCCAGAATGATGATGTAATACATGCAGCTGTACAAAATAATCAGTTGTCCTGCATACCCAATACCTGACAAATGCAAACAGATACATTGATCAGCAGGGACATACAACTAATTTCACAGAGACCCATGGGAATGGCTGCAATGCAAAGTTTCATTTGCCACCAGGACTAAGGCACTCAACACAATTAGTGTGCCAAATTTCACTAACTTTTACCCTACAGTTCTAGGGGCTGATATGGATTTCTATACAGATGAATATTTTCCACATTGATGCACTGTCTCACATTTACTTTAGAAAATGCAAGTGGTGGTTGCCTGTACCCTAACAATGAATGCATATTAAAAAGCATTAATTAATTTGTTTAAATCTTTTGACTCACCCTCAGCCAGTGGACAAAGCCGACGCCAACAAGTAATGCCCCCTTCCTGTGTGTACTGTCCCATAGCCGTCTCTAGCAGGAACAGAGGCACCCCACAGGTAACCACAAACACCAGGTAGGGTATCAGGAACGCCCCTGAGAACACACCAGTGCGATAATACATTATTAAAATGCCACAGAAATCTAAGGTATAGTATTCATTTTTGTAACCATAATGAAATCTCCAACAAACAAACATTTGTGTCTTTAGTCTGCTTCATACCTCCTCCATTCTTGTAGCAGAGATAGGGAAATCTCCACACATTACCCAGACCAATCACAATCCCTGCCACAGCTAAAATAAACTCTGTTTTACTCCCCCAGGATCCTCTCTCCTCTATTTGTCCTTTGATTTTTTTCATATCTTCACACCGTTTTGACCAGGTCGCTCCGATCCTGCTGTTCAGACTGCTACACGTTCAAAGTGAGTTTGTTCTAAATTCTGCTTTGCTGCAGGCTAATAAAAATGTATCAAGCTATTCATTGACTGATCCTCTCCAGCTGAAATGACAAACCAAAGTACGAAACCGGTAATGGGGCAGATCTAAAGCAGATGCAGATCAGGTTGCTACTAAGTTATATGATATACTTCAGGTAAAATTTGTATTTCAAATTTTTAGTTTCAAAAATATTGTTAGCATGTGTAAAACCTACAGCCTCCAGTCTTGGATCACATTTGCTTAAACACAGAGTATGAGGCTCTATCAATGCTAAAGTCACAGGTTCAGTTCGTAGGAAATGCATCAGCTGTTACAATGTAAAAAATCACTTTGGGCAAAAACATCTTCCAGATGTGTAAATGTAAGTATATTTAATTACAAGAAGCTCACTGACGGTAGCGACTGTGGGTGAGATACAGGTATAAAGGTATAAATGTCTTTTTCGAGGTTCCACAGAATATGATTGAATGAGTAGTAAATACTCCTGTTAATACCTTTATTTTTATTTTTTTAAAAATAGGTCTGTTATTTCAATTTGGAAAATGTAATTATATAATATTATACTGTATAAATAGATCATTATGCAGCCCTTCTGTTCACTGCTGTTAGTAACATGATTATTTGTCATTTATAAGGAGGTTTCAGATTGAATTCAACTGTATCAAACAAGTTTAAGATTTTCTGGGATTTTCTCATGTTTAATTGTTATACTTTTCCAACAACATGCTAAAAATATGCTTCTTATTTGTCTTCTGCTTATTTTAACCCTATTGAAAAGTTTAAATCTGAAAAGTTAAAGCCTTTTTGAACATTAGTGAATGTTTGCACCTTTTGTTACAGTTGACATGAGTCCACCTCTATGCATGATAGCTTCCACATAGCCTTAGTGGCCACTGCAACTTCTGATGCAGCACAGTGTATGGAAATTATGAGAAAAGATGGATCTCATAATCATAAAAGGTTCCAAATACTAAGAAGATGTTGGAAAACCAAACAATATTCAGGACCTTTAAGATTTTTTCCCCCCGATGAACAATGGGAAATGAGGGACTAATATTAAACAGGCATTGGTGATTTAGTTAACAACACACTATAAGAAGGAAGCCTTTGGTTTTTAATTGGAGAATATTGTCAATAATATTTCTGGTCTAGATGAACCCCTTTGTCTCCTATGGCTGGATCAAAGTGGCAATGATAACTGTGGTAGCTGCAGTATTTCTACTAGGGGTGCGCCGATCTGATATTCAGTATCGGTATCGCTCCGATACTGGCATTTTCTGCTGGATCGGGGTATCGGTCAGACGAGACCGATCCAAATCCGATATAGTGCGTATACTATTCTGTGTTATTATTAAGCCCCACGAAAGGCACAAAAACATTATAAAGCACCATAAAGTTTCTGTGCACTATATTTTAAGAATCAAGTGTTCTGAGACCATAGTTTAATGTGAGGTACGAATATTTAAGTCGTTAAATTCAAGTTGACGTAAACTCTTCTCTCCGCTGCGGCTGTCAGTCATCCTCCATTCAGCTTTCAAACTGCAGCTGTGTCCCAAACTGAAGTGCATGGACTCCGAAGTGCGCATTTGAAGTGCGATTGCGTCTCAGCGTCACGACGTAAGCCGTCCTAATTCAGAATGCGCCCTCCGAAGACCGCATTCCAAAGCCGATTGGGTCACCGAGGCGTGATAGCGATTTCAAATGCACCCACTTTTTTAAAGTATTTTTTCCTTAATTAGGAGCTCTAACTCAAGTTTGCGATCTTCTCCGTGGCTTCCTGATTCTGCTGACTCATCAGAGAGAGAGAGTGCCTAAACAGTGTCTCATTGGTCAACTACGTCATATCCAACTTTTTCAAATTTTTTCAATTTTCACTATTTATTTACAATTTACTTTAGTTTAAATGAACAATTAAACAGCTATGAACTTTTAATAATATCACAAACTATTTATAATAATTATATACAAAAATAATTGTAAACCTGGAACAACAGTAAGTCCGGGTTACATCCTCCCCTCCTAAATAGGCATTCGTCCTCGTATCCTAAGTTAAGGTAACTCAATTCCTACACAATCTTTACTTGAGACTTCTCTATTAGCTCACTTGGTTCTTCAATACCACTCAAAGCAGCAACAAAAGCGGTATTTAATCCTTGGAACAAGGACTGAACCACTTGAATTAAGGGATTTCCAAAACTTGGATACGTAAGTATCTTAGGTTTCATTCTTTCTCTAGTAGAACGTCTGCACTGAGTTTCTGCATCTACTGTATCATCTTCAGCCGAAGTACGATTAACTTCATTACACTCCCTTTCAGCACTGTCTCCCTCATTAGTAACCATTGAGGTTCCAGGAGAACAAGTCAACTCAACAGATTCTGCAACATCAGGTAAGTTTACAACAGAAACTTCAACCGGTAAGTGTTCTATTGCCCTTTCAGGTGAAAGCACTTCTTTTTCATTACTCACAGGTAAGGAACTTTCTGAAGTTACAACAGGTAAGACATTTTCTTGTCTGGGTAAGTCATGATAAGTTACAAACCTCATTTCCTTAATTGGACAAGTTCTATACACAGAATCAGAGGTTTCATCATCAATTTCTGAATTGACATTTAGCTGTTCTGACTCTTGCACCTCAAGACTTGACCTAGTCTTAGGCTTAGAAACCGATTTTGGCTCCACTGAATTTACAGTTTCAGAAACTGGCAAAAATCCACAAGGAAGTAACAGGTCTCTATGAAGCGTACGAAACGGACCATCCTTTGTTTCTGGACGAACAGTATAGACAGGCAATTTGTCTGCACACTTCACCACAACATAGACCTCAGACTCCCACTTATCGGCGAGTTTATGTTTCCCACGTATTCTAACATTTCGCACCAAAACACGGTCACCCACCTCCAGGGTAGACTCGTTCACACTTTTGTCAAAGCGGACTTTGTTTCTTTCTGCAAGTTTCTGCATATTACGCACAGCAATTTCATAGCTCTCTTTTAAGTGAGACTTCAACTGCTGCACATACTGCAAATGTGATGTCTGCTGATTACTCTCTCTCGGCAATCCGAACACCAAATCAAGCGGCAATCGAGGTTGTCGGCCAAACATTAACTCATATGGGGAAAAACCTGTACTCTCATGCTTCGTACAGTTGTACGCATGAACTAAAGGTTTAACAAACTCTTTCCAACGACTCTTATCTTTTTCCTCCAGGGTTCCCAACATACTCAGCAACGTGCGATTAAATCGCTCTACTGGGTTCCCACGGGGATGATAAGGTGTGGTTCGAATTTTCTGGATACCAGCTATTGCACAAAGCTCTTTGATCGTACGCGATTCAAAATCTGGTCCCTGATCAGAATGTAAGCATTCTGGGAAGCCATAATGTACGATAAAGTGTTCCCATAAGCTTTTAGCAACTGTTTTGGCTTTTTGATTGGGCGTCGGTATAGCAACAGCATATTTGGTGAAAAAATCAGTAATCACCAGAATATCCCGTGTGTTGCTTTTGTCCGGCTCAAGGGAAAGAAAATCCATGCAGACAAGTTCAAGCGGCCTTGTAGCTTGGATATTTACCAAAGGTGCAGCTTTCTGAGGTAAGGCTTTTCTCCGAACACATCGGTCACAGGTCCTTACTTTGTGTTCTACCTCAGAACTCATCCTTGGCCAGTAAAACCGAGACCGGACCAAATCCAGGGTTCTCTCCATGCCCATATGACCCATCTGGTCATGTAATTCACTCATAACAAGAGATCTGAGTTCCTCAGGTAACACCACTTGGTAAGTTATAGAGTCTCCATCCTGTCGTCTTCTGCATAAAATTCCTCCTCTTATTTCAAGGCGATCCCACTCTCTCAAATAGAAAGGGAAATCAGGAACTTCTTTTCTGACCGCTGGTGGGGTTTTTTCTCCATATTCCAGGTACATAAGCACTTCCCTAATAACTGGATCAGACTTCTGCTTCTCAGTCAACTCCTCTTTCATCAAGTTAGGTATAACTGAAGGTACAGGTAAACTGTCCTCCTGTTCATAGCAGTTTGGTACCGCATCTGGGTGAATGGCAAGAGACATAACCAAGGAATCAGCAGGATCTTGGTTCTGCTGTACAAAGTGTTTTTCACATATAGCCTCCACCACATCAGTATCAGTGATACCAGGAACATTGGCTTCAGCTGTGTGATATTGCACAAACTTCTCGATCCTTTCGATTTCCTTTCTTGACATTTGATCTTCAGACAACTCTCCATGTGGCCTTCTGGACAAGCTGTCTGCATCAATGTTCTGCTTTCCAGCTCTGTACTTCAGTTTGAATGAAAAGGTTGATAAAGCAGCAAGCCATCGGTAACTAACAGCATCCAGCTTGGCTGTTGTCAACAGGTAAGTCAGGGGATTGCTATCAGTGACAACAGTAAATGAACTGCCCTAAAGAAAGCCATCAAATTTTTCTGTTACCGCCCACTTAAGAGCCAAGAATTCAAGTTTGTGAGCTGGGTAACGGGATTCACTGCGAGATAGCCCCCTGCTGGCATATGCAATTACTCGCTGCTCGCCGTCCTGCTCCTGGTACAGAGCAGCCCCCAATCCAGAAGTGCTGGCATCTGTATGAAGGATATAAGGAAGTTTAGGGTTAGCAAAACCCAAGACAGGAGCGGTGGAGAGCTTAGTAATTAAGGTCTCAAATGCCGTCTGACAAGAGGATGTCCAACGACTGCCAAACTGCTCTTTGGGGTTGTGGTATTGACCTTCTTTTCCAGGCTTTTTGCTACCTTTCCTCAATGGAGGATAACCAGAGGTCAGCTCATTCAATGGTTTCACAATATGGGCGTAGTCCTTTATAAACCTCCGATAGTAACCGGAAAATCCTAGGAATGATCTTAGCTCCTTCAGGTTTTTAGGACATGGCCAGGTTTTTATGGCCTCAATCTTCTCAGGATCGGTTTCAACTCCATGTTCGGACACTATGTGTCCAAG